ATTTTAAGGCCATACATGGATCATAAAAACTAGAGCATTGAGGAGCTGTACAGAGAATACACAAAAACTAGAGGGGATTTTCCTTTTCACAGTTATACAAATTACTCTTAGCCTTATTCCTTTTAATTAAATAATATTACAAGGGATAGCTTCACACTATATTGAGTGTGATATTGCTTATATACAACGGTTCAAGAATAACTTAATATTGTGTAAGTTATATAGAAATAAAATTCCAGTTACTGTAGTGTCTATTTTTGATTCACTAGAAAGCATAGTTCCAAGCCAAGTCAATCCACACAGTTCATACAGTACACTCTTAAAAATGAAGGTCCTTTATTGGCATTGATGGTTCCATGAAGAATCTTGAACATCCATGGAATCTTTCAAATGCACAAAAGGCTCTTTATAGTGGAAAAAAGTTCTTTAGATTTTTTTAAATGTTCTTCAAAATGGTTCGTTTAAGAACTGTTCACTGAAAGGTTCTTCGGGGAACCAAAAATAGTTCTTCTATGGCATCACTGCAAAAAACACCCTTTTGGAGCCTTTAATTTTTAAGAGTGTAGTACCATTCCTCAATGTAGAGGTCTGCACGGGACAGTTTTTTCCTGAATGAATGAGTGTGTTTGAATGCACAATGATTCAATGACTTAGTCATATAGACTTTCAGTTTGTCACAACTTACTGTCGTAGCAATATAACCTGCAAATATGTTTAGTGAAAAATCCCCACTAATGCATTAATAATGCAATAATGCAAGAGTCTATCTGGAACATGTAAAACAGAAGTGGATTGATACAAACACTGAAAAGTCCCAGTGCTGTTGGACTGTATCCTAGAACTCTGTATCCTAGCGAATCAAATTTGAGCACTGGATCTAAAAGTTTTATAATTATTAATGTTTTCAGTTCAAGTTGTTAAATCTGATTTCATCATACACACAAACAAAAGTTTACTAGATTTTGGGTGTCCCTGTGTTGCGTCTTACTTTCTTGGCAGAATGAGGTCATCCTGGTGTTCTCTGATCCCACATGGAATTTTCTGTCACACAACAAAGTTGAAGGAAAGCTCAAAGTTCTCCTGATGTCTTAAAAGAGTGTTCTTGTCTTTTGGAGTCCCAAATACATCATCTTTTTTGGTCTGCTCCAAGGATTTTGCACAGCTAAGTTACAAGTTACAAAGTTATATGTATACCTCACAGTTATATCATCAGAGGCTGCCTTAGAGTTAAAGGCATAGTTCACCCAAAAATGAAAATTCTGTCACCACTTACATAATTTACCCTTTAACTTCTATAGCATTTTTCCCCATAATATGAAAAATGGACCAGCAATTGTTTGGTTAACCACATTCTTCCGAATATCTAGCCTATTTTTTGTTCAGCAGAAGAAAGAAACTCATACAGGTTTGGGACAACTTGAGGGTGAGTAAATGATGGTAGAGTTTTCATTTTTGGATGAACTATCCCTTTAAGCAGCTATTTTAGTACTTGTCTTTCACATCGCTGTGGAGGAATTTTGGCCCACTCTTCTTTGCAGAATTGTTTTAATTCAGCCACAATGGAGGGTTTTCTAGCATGAATGAACTGTTTAAGGTCATGCCACAGCATTTCAATCGGATTGAAGTCCAGACTTTGACTTGGCCACTCCAAAACCTTAACTTTGTTTTTCTTGAGGCATTCAGAGGTGATCTTGCTGGTGTGTTTGGGATCATTTTCCTGCTGCATAACCCAAGTGCGCTTGAGCTTGAGGTCACAAACTAACGGCCGGACATTCTCCTTCAGGATTTTCTGATAGAGTGCAGAATTCATGGTTCCATCAATTATGGTAAGTCGTCCAGGTCCTGAAGCTGCAAAGCAGCCCCAGACCATCACACTTCCACCTCCGCCACCATGTTTGACTGTTGGTATGATGTTCTTTTTATGAAATGCTGTGTTGGTTTTACGTCAGATGTAACGGGACACACACCTTCCAAAATGTTTAACTTTTGTCGCATCAGTCCACAGAATATTTGCCCAAAAGTCTTGGTGATAATCAAGATATTTTTTGGCAAATTGTGTTCTTTTTGGTCAGCAATGGCTCTTGCCTCGGACCTCTCCCATGGATGCCGTTTTTGCCCAGTCTCTTTCTTATTGTTGAATCATGAACACTGACCTTAATTGAGGCAAGTGAGGCCTGCAGTTCTTTAG